TTCTATATTCATTTGGCCTCTTTTTTATAGGATTGATATAAAAAACGATAATTTTCAAATTTAAATGTTTTTTATGTAATTTCAAAGCTAACTTCATTCTGATTGTAACTAATAGTTCAAAGTTTATTTTTATTTGAAGGCTTTGATTAAAACAATATGTATGTCGCATAAATCTATCAGTCATATAGCTCTCCCATGCCTTGACGGCACATTCATAAACTACGAAGTGCGTGTACATCTTTGTTACACGAATTTGACATATATATTTTGATTAAAGACATATTAAATAAACCTTGATATCGTGAGAAATATGCGTCATTTGGTCTTCTGCAGGTGGTTACGTTGTTATTCGATTTAGATCGGATAATCCCGGAATGTGGTTTCTACATTGTCATATTGACCTGCACAATACAAATGGTATGGGAATGGTCATTGATGAAGGGGAGTCAAAAGCAAGCCCTCCTGAAGGATTTCCAACATGCAGAAGTTTTCTATATAATGGTAAGGAATCAATGATTACATGCTGTGTGTGTGCGCCCGTGTGTGCGCGTGCGCGTGTGTGTGTGCGTTCTTTATGCACCCACCATAAATTGGATGGGGACATATAGTGTTACCCTTGTCTTTGCTCATGCGTCTTGGTATCAGGTCCATAGCTTCTGCAGACATGATGGTATTTAATTGGCACACATGGTCACGACACATGCTTTAAGATGAAGGTTAAAGCTGGTTATTGAACTTAGTGTGCTTGTGTTTTGCATGTATTCTGAAGTGGTGTTAGAGTTTAGGTCCATAGCTTATGCAGCACAAGCTTTAACTAAGTGTATTTTTCATAATGTCTGAAGTGTTGTAAGGGTTCGTATCCCGGCACTAACTTCTGCATGCATGATAGTTATTAAGAATAAACTGTTACACTTGGTTATCATAAGATAATGATGCGTTGCACGCTTAACACAGATCCAAGGCTTAAAGGTAACGTACACAGCAAGGGAAATAACTTTATTTGTCATAAAGTCTTAAGTGCTGTTAGAGTTTATGTTCGGTCCATAACTTTTTTATAAATGATAGTATTTCTTTTTTAACTTGTACACTTTATCGCGTGACTCGCGGGAGACCAATGTGTCAAGTTCAAAGGTGACAGTCAGTGGTTTAACTTTGTCGGCGAGTTGACGAGCAGCTAACTGCAATGTGTGTCTCATCCAGTGTTTCTGCATGCAAGATGAGATTTCAAAAAAATACTATACATGAATACGATAAAATTACAATGTGCTGTGCGCAAAAGGCAGACACGCATATTCAAAGTCAATGTCATATTGTGGAGGTCAAAGGACAAATCCTGCGAATAACTTTGCCGTTTATAAAGGGCTTGGGGAAAATAAGTCGCATAAATATGTCTTAACCACTGTCAGGCGATCTGTCGCGTACAAGACTCATGACAAAATTTTCATGGTCAAGGTTATTTTTGGGGCTCAGAAGTCAAAGCATCTTTCCTTTTTATCCCTATTGTTACTTTTTGGATTCACAAATTACTGGGCCACATTGAGGCCGTGTGTCATACGCCAAGGAAAATACTTTCATAAAACTTAGTCTTCAGTTATAATCGTTTTCTTGAATATCAAAATGTTTGATTTGTATGGTATATATATATTTAAACGGGTTACTTTCATATTTCAGGGACACCCGTGTCCTATTGATTATTGTTTTGATATATCTTCTGTTTCGAAACAAGTATCAGATCTATATAGGACGTGTATATGTTAATGTTGTTACTAAAGCATAATATTATCATGCAATACCTTCTTAGTGATGTTGTTTATGTATAGTTTGAAATTTGGTCTACTGCTGTTATGTAGATCGTTTCTCAAATTTCTGCGTTTAAACCGACATACAATTTTCATTTATAGCCATGTTCATTATTTATATCCCTGCACAGTAAAGTTGCAAGGGAGTGAATACAATGAAGTTTTAAACATATTATAGTAAATATATTACGAGTGTGATACCTTTCTGACAACAACACGAAAGTAAAAAATAAACCTTGTTATTTATACAAAAAAAAGATTAACTTGTATAATTTCAGGGAAGTCTCCAGGTGTCAACAGTGCAACGAAACACAGCGGATTTCCGATTATAGTGACTTTTGTGCTTTGTCTGATCATAAAGATAGCTAATTAGATTTTGTTTTTTTTTTGTTGATATTATTATCGCAACCATGAATATAGTTCCAAGACATTTGTTTTCTAACATATTCTAAATTTAGTTTTAGATTGATATGACATGCAAACCAAGAGGTTTTCTTGTCTCGGGCAATATCTGAGTAACATTTTCACAGCATAAAACTCATCGCCAGTGTAAAAGACAAATATTTTCGTTTGATTTACGTAGAAATTGTAAGATTTATAGAAAGAAAGAAAAATTGTCTATTACACAAAAGGCCATTATTGTCAGATTTACGTTGACAGCTTCACTAAATTGCTATTTAATTATGATTAATTGTTATCATTATAGATTATTTCTTTGCTAAACATATCATAATCTGCACGTTTTTTAAAGAAGATGAATACACAAAATGCCTTATTTGCCTTTGTATCTCATATATTTAGTTGTATCTTATATATGTTCACCTCACCCCTGTGATTGTTCTCACTATTATCCTGCTCTGCAAAACAAATTGTAATATTGTAATGTTGCTATTATAGAAAAGGTTATAGTTAAGAAAATTTTAAAAACTACATTTATATTTAACCGAATGTATTGTCAGTTAATGGGTTATATTAAGTAGAAAAATTCTGTTTTTAAATACTTTAAAAGTCTTTGATATTGACAAAAAAGTGAAAGTAAAATATCTAAGTACATTGATAGAACTAATATAAACATTTATATGCCACTAGCCTATTGGTAAAACACATATATAATTACATGCTTTTATCGTTGTTTTCTTCTGATTTGTATTTTCTTTTCAAATAAATAAACTATTATATCTTTGAACAAATGTCAGTAGTTTGATTATGTCAATATCTTGTTTTCCTTTAAGGCAGCCAGCATGCCTTTAGATTCATGATAATTTTCATTAAGTTTTTGAAAATGAATTTAAAAGTTAAGTATTGTGAAGTGAACAAGGAAAGTAATTTATACATCTGCAATCCATGCAAATTGTCAAAATATGAAACATAGCTCTTACTGCATTAGTCACGCAGAAACAAATATGGTGGTAAAAACTGCAAAATCAATCATTAATCGCAGTAGCAAGTAAATTTTTACATCATTCTTGAGTCCTTTAACCTTTCTAAATATCGATAGTAAATTTTTCGCAAGTTTGATTTTCTTGAAATATTTTGGCTCACCTGGAGGCATGCAGCTTAAAATATTTTATAAAACGATTCATGTTCTGTCCTATGTGACAAGACAAGCAATACAAATACTGATAGAGACATATATTGAAGATGCATCATGCCATCTCCAAACATCTGAAATAAATGGTTTCATATTTAAAATTAACATATCTAGTATGTACACACTTTCCCTACTACATACATTTAAATATACATGTCAAATTCTAGTATGCTACTTTACAAGGCTCGAATAATATAATTCTGCTAGCTGCGAAAACGGATAACTAAAAAAAGTTTATTTTATATAGTTATAGAACAGAATACTTTTATTAAAGACTTAAATATAGTATATCCTCTATAAGCATAAATGTGTTGAGAGTGAAATTAAACTTTAAACTTAAATGATATTCACCTCTCAATCATGTTGATATCTCTTCTAGGTGAGAAGGCTTCCATTAGGAATAATGAAATATCACAAAGATCTTTTTTATTATATCATTTAATTTAACAGTTTTTTTCTACGTCGTACGTGTTTATAATAATTTTAAGAACTTTTATTTGTACACCAGAGTTATAACGTTTAAAGTTAAAAAAAATTCTGTAAAATGAATCAAAGTATTTTTTAAACCGATTAAACCTTTATTGTAGTTAAGAAAGTGCTGAACTAAAGCAAAAATAGCATCCATCGTTGAACTACCTTTTGTTCTGGACAGTCTTAGGCAGAATCCGACATTCAAGTTAGACGTAACGATAGCAATTATTTCGTACATTTCAATGAATAACTTGGGTAGTTTAATAGTTTAAAGTTTGAAATACTTGCATGATATCATTAAACTAATTCAATTTACTTGCATGACATAATCTTCTGCTGCACCGTTTTGAACTGTCATTTCTATGGTCGGTCTATATCAGCTTGTTTGCTTATACATGTATTATACTGCATTCCGTTTATGCCCTATCTATCCAGCATTAGTTCGGGTTTAAGTTATCAGCTGTTCGCAAGATAAAAACGCGAGTTTCAAGTGGAACTGTCTCAGTCATTTTCGCGACCAAACAAATTTAAAGAAAGAATATATCTTCATTGCTCTGCCCCGTGGATGCGTTTGTCATAGGAGGACGAGAGGAAACAATGGACGGTCTAATGCACCTCTACATCGTTGCATGCAGCTTAGAAGCGGACAAGGGAATAGTAACGGACAGGGGATTTCAAACCCGTATCAACCGCAATCATCGGGAATTGACACAGAATTCAAAGCTAGTACAGGAAAGACCGCACATCAAAATCAGGGATGAGGCACTTTAAACAGAAATATATGCAAATATAGTTAAGAAATTTACTTTGAAATAATTTGAAAATTGTATTTTTATGCTTTTCTAAGCCCGATTTGAGTGAAAAGTGTTTAAACACTTTTCACTTTGTGTCATTTTTTTACAATTTGATTTTTTATTCTGGAAAAACGAAGGGCGCGATTGATCTGAAATTTTGTACAAAGATTAGTGGTCTAAACCTACATCAAATGGTACATTTATCAGAAAAAGTATTTTCAATTCCATCACGTCAAAAAACCTCAGTGGAGTCCCTTCAAAAGCATTTTATATGATTTTCTAATTTTTACCTTAAACTAACTCGGAATTTTCTATGAATTTCTACAACTCTTTTTGCCCTTCGCAAATTGGGTCATTTTTTCATAGCAACGGATCGCGTCGTAAAAAGGTCTATAGACGTTGAAATATGTTTTTTATATATATATATGTGTGTGAGCAGTACATGTGCAGGGATTGACAAATATACATTTTATTTGGATTTTAAAGGCCTGTGAAAGTATCTGTGAAAAAAATCAGGTGAGGTACATCACACAATAAAGACCTTGAATGCTTTCCATTATTCAAGTTGATTTTATTTATAAAGTCGGAAAGCTGTATATAATAAACACAAAATTTATTAGGAACTGTAAAATTGACGCCATATGTCTGTTATATACCTTAAATTACACATGTAAGCAAAATTTAAACATAATTTAAATAAAGTTTACGTACGGTTTACCAGTTATGGAAATGTTTCTGATCTAAAGCTTTGCTATTTGAAGGACTCTTTAATATCATCATCATGACAAAATGTTTTCCTGTTGATCTTTGTTAAGAAACAAGTAATAGCATTTAGCTAACAAACCACGCAAGCAAATGATAGACTTAGTTTGTACTCAAAATGTTTTAAATGAGTACAAAAATGTTACCTGACCATTTTCATACTTGGACTTATTCAAAATATCCTTTATATTTACCAAAAGTGAGGGGCTGTTTTCAAAGTTTGTCTATATTTTCTTAAAAGTATACTGGTCAATATTGTCAAATATAAAATACTTTTACCGTGTTGTTTTGATTTTACTATACTTTGAAAAATTCAGGTACAATATTTGTCATTAAATTTGGCATTTGTAAGATTTAATAATAAATCAATAAATACGTATAATAATTATATTATTAAAATTCAACATTTTTTTCTTCCCAAAAGGGAGTTGAGACATATACTTATAAATATAAAAAAAAGAAAGAAAGAAAAAAATTGACTCTTCTTGGGGTTTGAACCCATGCCCCTTAGTTGACATTAATTCTAACCTATTTTAATACCTTTCAACGCGGAGGTAGTGCATTAGGTAGATAAATATGGAATGATAATTTAACAATCGCAACTACTCGGCCCTTTCCGTCAGTCTTCGGATAAGGACCTCGAACACAATAGTATGAATACACAGAACGGATGCGGTATTTCGGTCTAACCTACGCTAAGAAACTAAACATGTAAACAAATAGTAATTTAATGCTGGGAGTTTTTTACAAGTTTATTTCCAATATATGTAGTAAACGTTCACCTAAAATAAGTGATATCATAGGTACAAAAGCAAACAATTCATTATTTATATATTTATTATTAAAGTTGTAGAAACCGAAAGTACAAAAAACCAACCTGTTGACATTTCGTCGGATTTGTTTAAAATTGAACATCAGTGGGCATATTTAAATTACAAATTGTTGTCAGACAAATTTTCAAGCAAAAGAGTACCGGAACAGGCATTAGATGTCAAATATATACATTCGTTTTACATTATCTCTTTTTCTGTTTACATCTGAAACCACGTGGTAGAACTACTTTCAATCCGTATTGTTTCCGAGGTTAATATTGTAGATAATAGCCGAGGCAGTTCCGAATGGATAATTTAATATAAATAAAAGCAATGTTTTGCGCAGAGTGAGTGGACCTCTGCTCGGCGTATACCTCTGCTCGGCGTAAACTAGTATTGCTGTATGAATATCTGAAAATATTTCATAGAATATTCGATTTAGGTCACCGGTTCGTTTATTTACATTACTTCTTAGGGGGCAGGGGACCTAAAAATGAACAATTTTGTATTTCAGTGTGACCAGAAACACAATTCCAAATATTTCAAAATCTGTTTCACAGGCAGATAACCAGTTGCACAGCATTATTCAATGATATATGACATACATTGAAGAAAATAATAGTTTGCATGCATTGCTCCTTCAAAAAATGACTGACAGCAATTTATATTTACCCCCACCCAGCCAAAATCACACCTAAAATTAATATACCAATATGGGCAATCTTCATGAAGGTGCACCATACTCCAGAATCCGCCCGATTCCTTTAAAAATATCAGTAACACGCAGTGCAAGCTATGGCATTTTCAGAAATGACCAAAAAAGTGTCTGTCATACGTTTAGATTTTTCACAAAATTTATCTGAAATTTCTTACTTGTTTGGCGCCAACTGTCAAAGCTTGATTTTTAACTTTTTCACCTCCATTCGGAGAGTCAGATATACATATAAAGCTACCAAAATGCTTAGTTTCGGATGAAAACACAAAAATACTTCTCATTTCCTACACACAAACAAGAAAGAATTACAATGACAGAGAAATATCAGAAGTTATCAGTACCTTCAAAACACCATGTCTGAGTTATTAAAAAATTTGACCGGGGCCATCATTCGAATATGTCCCCTGCCCCCTTATTTTATTCCAAACTCCTCACAGTGATTACCTCCCTTGGCAGAATTGTAATCACTGCCTTCAAAGACGTCACATGATGATGAAAGTCACATGACGTAACGTCGAAATTCAAATGTAAATATCGACCGTTACATAGAAAATCTAACGTCATTTTTCTCTTTCTGTTTTATTTTTAACTTTTAGTGCCTACGTTCGATATAGTTTATCAAAAAATTATCAAAGGTATACAAAACAACGAATAATAAATTCGAAAGCTAAAAAATATAAAATATCGAAATATTGTCTCGTACAAAATATTCTCATAATTTTTAAAATTATTTCTAAATATTCATATTATTTATTTATTTATTCATAAACATTGTTAAATAAATGAGAAAGAACTTATCTAATAGATAAAAGCAGTAGATAAAACAATTTTTGAAAAAATATAGTATATCAGAAATTCTGATATATCGGGACCTTGGTGGCAGAGATCTACGCCGAAGAATTAAGGGGAGATCACTGCGTGGAGATTGATTTTATTCTGGTGCGGTTTACTTCCGTCGAAGTCACGTGACCACAGTATTGCAGACAACGAACTGAATAAAATCCGTGCCTTGTTCAAATCGCCTTTGTTAATATATACAATATCT